CGAGGCCACTCTGTGGCCACTGGGTTAAACATTTTAGCACAAGAATTCCTTTAATTCCTGACCCTGTTTAAAATCCACCTATAATTCAAATTCTTTTTCCCTTTTTGCAAGGCCCAGGCCAGCTGCCTCAGTTAATCTTCATTTTAACACGTGAAAATTCTGTGTTTCCTCCTGCATTCCATCCATCCATTTTGTTGACTGGCAGGATAGGAGTGTTGTAGGGAGACATTCCTGGCTCCAAAAGCCCTGCCTTTAACAGGGACTCAGTACCAGGCTGTGAGCCCTTCCTTCTCTCTCTTGGAACAAGGTATTGCTTGTCCTGGTTGCTTTAAAGTAATTTGTAGCGGCTCCATATCTAATTTTCCCTTTTTCCCTGTGTCTGCCCGCACTTCTGTGTTCACTTCAGCATGGGCCTTTTCAATCTTTTCACACAAAGGTAGAGCAGAACTAGCCTCTGCAACCCCTTTTACAGTATAAAAATCCAGCTCTCAAATTCCTTCCTAGGTAATTACAATCACAGGAGGAAGAAAGAGAAATTCATTTTATTCAAACCTATCCCCCACAGCTTCTAATACTAGTTGAACAAGTCATACCTGCTCATCTTTCCCACTCATTCCCTTAAAAATTAAAACATTCCTTTACTCTTTTCCCCCTTCAGTCTAAGATTCAGAGTGGATTGAGAGGCCCCTGTGTCCATCAGGAAATGCCTCCTCTCAGTGCAGACCCACCCTGAATGTTCTCAAGGGCTGCAGTGTGGAGGGTCCCTGGTGTGATGGGAGCTGTGACAGCCCTGGCAATCCATGTCCATCAAGGGGTGGACTTGCTGGTCCTGAGGGTGCTGCTGTCTGTGCTTGCAGTGTCCTTGTGCCCTGCAGCTGGAGGCCTGGTTCCTTGCCAGGGGCTGTTTGGGTGGGCTCTCCCCTGGTGAGGAGGGCAATGCCTCTTCCAGGTGCTTGTGGCCGAGTCCATGCCCTGGGTGCTGGGGCCCCCTTGGGCCCCGGGGTTGATCCCTCAGGGGCTGTAGGAACTGTGCCCTGGCCTTTGCCTTCAGCTTGGCCTTTTGCTGCTCCCTTCTTGCATTCACCTGCTGTGCCTTTGTGCCCAAGTGCTGCAGGGCCTTCTTTCCCCCTCCTGCAGCCCCCTCAGTGCCTGTGGGTGCTTGTCTTGCTTTACAAGAGAGGTGTCTGCTCAGGAAGGCAGAAAAAGCCTCTCTTGGAATGGAGAATGCAAACCCCCTCCCTCTTCATTTTTAGACTAGTGAAATCGAGGGGCTCTCAGGCAAAGATATGGGAATAGGAATACCAGTTCTTTACTAGTGTGTATAATAAAGCAAAGAAACACCAACAGCTGCGGCACTGACAGCAAACAGAGCCCGGACCCAGTCCCGGCCTTTGGGCTGCGGCACTTTTCCCTTGGGTGCAGTTCCGGGCACGGCCGGCAGGGGCGCTGGTGGCTCCCGCGGGGCTGGGCAGCTCATCCCTCCCATGGGAACCTCTCTGAACGGAAATAGAGCAATCCCTTCATCTAACTCTTTCACTTTTTTACCTTCTCTAGCCTTTCTCCCGTTTTTTGAGAAAGAATTTGGAGAGGGCTGTCTTTTAACTGAGCTTCTAGTGTTTTGATAAGGTGCTTCCTGTAGAGAGAGAGAGTTTCCCTGAACAGCCGGAGCTGTGGTTACCAAGGGGCCGTAACTCAGAGCAGGACGGGGTCAGGGGAGGATATCCCGGCCAGGCTCGGTGGGAATGTGGGCAGGGTCTGCTGCTGGAATCGCCAGAGGGGGATCTTCCCGTGGAGCCCGAGGCGGAGCGTGGGTAGCCCCCACATGGCTGATGGCGGCTGATCCGGCAGCTCCCGGCAGAGCAAAGGCAGGTGGGAGAGCCCGGCAGCAGCGGCGGTGCCCAGCGCCGGTGGCACGGGCAGGGCAGCCGGGGATGGGATGGCTGGGACCCCCCCTGGGTGCGGTGGGCGCGGTGACCTCGGAGCAGGCGGCAGGACAGAGCAACCCCCATCTTGCCCAGCATGGGCGGCAGAGCGGCCGCGGGCCAGGCAGTGGGAGCAGGGCACACAAATTGAGCGACAGCGCCGGGGCAGGTGGAGCTGCCCTGGGCAGTGAGGCCGCACCTGGGATGGAAACCGGGGCAGGCGGAGCTGAGGCGGGCAGCGAGCCGGGACCCGGGACAGGCGCCTGGGCCGCGAACGGAGGGGGCAAGACCTGCCGAGGATCCCACTCTCTGATTTTTCCTCTTGTTCCCTTCCCTTTCATTTCCCTTTGTCTTTTCTTGTTTTGTCTTGCGTTTTTCTGATACTTCAAAGATTTTTATTCTCTTGAAATCTCCTGTGGAACATATGGCATATTCCCTTTCTTCTAGATTAAATGCGGTTTTTTTACAAATAATTCCAGAGCCTAACAAGTCTAAACTTCTGCTTGGATACTTGAAATGGTTAACGAGCTAACTCACGACCTCCTAATGTTGTTTTTCTCATCACCTTTTTATTTATCCTTTGGCAAATTAAGCATCTTCAGTTATTTGATTTGCTACTCCAAGAATCCCCGTGCACCTATAGTTCCTTAAAAAATGGTCACACAAAGCTTGAGTACCCCAGTGGGTTTTCTGATGCATGTCTTCTAATATTTTCTTAGAAGCACATTTTATTAAATAATTGTCTTCCATCAAAAAGTTTCCATTTCCCTGATTTATCTTGTTCATTTCCTGTCGTGTTTAAATCTTTTTTCTCGGCTTCCCTAAACTTTGGAATTTCCAATTTTTCCTCGTTTGAAGTTAATATTAACTTAAGTCTTTCTGCTGCATCCTTAGCTTTGTGCTCTGCCCCCAGTTTGCCCAGTTTGCCTGTCCTTTGGCCCGGGCCGGGTTCCCCCCGCCCGCAGCGGCTGGAGCAGCCGAGAGCCCCGCGCTGCCCATCCCGACCTGTCCCGGCTCCATCCCCGCTCCTGCCGCGGGCTGCGAGGGCTGCGGGAACGGGGCACCGAGGGTGTGGCTGCTGCTGGGGGAGGAGGAGGAGGCAGGGAAGGGCAGGTATGAAGGGGGAGGAGAAGGTGGAGTTAGAGGGGAGGAGCAGGGGGGGAGGGATGGAAGAGAAGGGATGAAGGCAGAGAGAGAGCAGCGATCGAAGAGGAGAAGGAGGTGGGAATAAGAGGGGGAGGAGGAGGAGTGGGGATGGAAGGGGAGGAATGGGAGGAAGAGGAAGAGGAGGGACAAAGGCAGATCGAGGCTGAGCTGAGTGAACCACGCGGTCGATCCCTGCCTGAATTCGCAGCCCTCACCTGTGGGATCATCGCCCCCCATTGCGCCGGCGAGCGGGGAGGGGGAGTTCGGCCCGGATATCCCAGGGTGTCCCTGCGTTGGGGTTTTTGGGGGATGTTTGTAGAATGAAGGAGTCCAAGGCTGAGCAGGAAAGGCCCCTTGGGGGGACATCGGGGGGTGGCGGTGGCGGCTGCCGGCAGAGGCAGCCTGGAGGAGCAGAGCCCTGTGTCCCCCAGGAGCCCAAAGTGGGGAGCCCAGAGAGGGGGGAGCGCCGCCATTGGCGGGAGCCTCAAGAGCCTGGAGAGGGGCAGGGGGGACTCCTTGGAGCCGCTGCAGCCCAGAGCAGAGAATGAGGGGAGAAGGGAGCCCGGGAGCCCAAAAAGCCCCGGCATCCCGAAATGGGGAGAGCGAAGCGAGGGGAGCTTTTGGCATTGCTGGGACTGCCAGCAGCCTGGGCAGGGCGGGCACCGAGGAGAAGGGGGACCCCCAATCCAAGCGTGACCCCTGCAGCTGGAACAGGGGGGAACACCCGAACACCAGAGGGGAGGGACCAGGGACAGGGAACTCCTGGGAGGCTTTTTCAGGGCTGAATCTGGGTGTTTGGGAGGTTTTTCTGGACACCAGATGGCCAGTTACTTGTAGAGATGGACTTGGGCAGAGGGAACTTCAAACTCAACATTCTCATCCCTTTTTTTCTCCAAACCAGGATTTCCCTTTGCCAACTTCTGGGAGGCTGCGAGGAAGAGGAAGATGCCCCAGGACAATGAGGCAGGTGAGGAGGAAATCAGTGTCTCTGGATTCTTAAAATCAGAGGCTTTTGGGAAAGCTGCAAAAGACAAGCCTCAGAGACATTAGAACTGATTTGAGCTTTGCAGCAGCCAATAGATTGGTCAGCAGAATAATTATATAAGAAGTAGAAATTAAGGAGAAATAGAGCAATGGTCTGTGTGCAGTAAGACTTATCTAGAATAACTAACTCCCTAACCTGTGGGAAAGTGTATCTAGCAAGATATTGGAAAATTCCAAGCTTAATAATGGAGCTCTGTGCATTGTTTTTTAAGGCTTACAAGCAGGTATTGTATTTGAAAGAAGCAAGCATTGTTTTAACCTTCAATGTGCTTATAGTGCTTGGATAGAACTACTGTCAAGATGCTTTTGCTTTGTGTGATTGGTCAAAAACCTTTTAAAGTAAGTTTTAACGTGAAATTCTTTTTCTGCTACCTGTGATGTGAGCTGCTGACATCTTCCCATTGTCATAACCAAGTAATGAGACAGATGTTGGAAAATCACACAGCTCAGGACGCATTCCCAGCAGTCCAGTCCTGTTTGTGATTTGTGCACAGCCCCGAGCTGGCGATGAGTGCCCCTTTCCCCTCTGTGCTGCTCCATCTCCCAGCCCAGCACGGCCCCGGCTGCAGCTCAGCCCTGGGGGATCTCCTTGCCCTTGCCTGTGGCACAGAGGCATATCCCATCCTGTCCTTGTCCTTCCTCCCCCAGAGCAGGAGCTGAGCATGGAGAGCAGGGAGGACAAATGCCCGTGGCAGAACCTGGTGGCAGAGGCCGTTTTGAGCGGCTCCACAGCGCAGGAGGCCAACGGGGAGGAAAAGCCCCGGAGATGCCACACGAGGAGGGGCTGCAAACGCAGCCGGCGTGGATCTGAGGGGGAAAGAGCCAGCCTGGGCCAGGAAGGCGGCCGGAGATCGAGGCAGAGCTCGGAGCTGGTGCTCCATGAGCAGCTCCATGATGGGGAGAAGCCCCACACGTGCGTGGAGTGTGGGAAGAGCTTCAGGCGGAACTCCAACCTGATTGTGCACCAGAGGATCCACACTGGGGAACGGCCCTATGAGTGTGGGGAGTGTGGGAAGAGCTTCAGGCAGAGCTCCAGCCTGATTGTGCACCAGAGGACCCACACTGGGGAGAAGCCCTACGAGTGTGGGGAGTGTGGGAAGAGCTTCAGCCAGGGCTCCAGCCTGACTGTGCACCAGAGGGCCCACACTGGAGAAAGGCCGTACAAGTGTTCCGAGTGTGGGATGTGCTTCAGCCAGAGCTCCAAACTGGTCAGCCACCAGAGGACCCACACTAGGGAGAGGCCCTACGAGTGTTCCAAGTGTGGGAAGGGGTTTCAGAACAGCTCCCATCTCCTCCAGCACTATCGGATTCACAGAGAGGAGAGGCCCTTCCAATGCCCCGACTGTGGGAAGGGATTCAAGGACAACTCCACCCTTGTCAAGCACCGGCGCATCCACACTGGGGAGAGGCCCTACGAGTGTGATAAATGCAGGAAGAGGTTTCCGACCAGCTCCATTCTCCTCCGGCACTATCGGATTCACACAGAGGAGAGGCCCTTCCGCTGTCCCGACTGCTGGAAGGGATTCAAGCACAACTGCAACCTCATCACCCACCGGCGCATCCACACTGGGGAGAGGCCCTACGAGTGTCCCCAGTGTGGGAAGAGCTTCTCCAGGAGCTCTCACTTGACCCGACACCAACGGAGGCACCGGTAAGGGAAGCCCTGCGAGTGCCCCGAGTGCAGGCAGAGCTTCGTGCGCTGCTCCAGCTCCATCCCCCACTGGAGGAGGCACTTTTGGCACAGCCCTGGTGAGCCACATTCCCTGTGATCCATGTTGAGAACACAGCTGGCTGCTTCTACTTTTAATTTCACCTGAAGTTTTTTCTATTCTCCATCTCTTTGCACTGCAGAAGCCAAGAGGAATGGATCTGTCACCTCCAAACCACTGAAATCCCAGGGAAAACAGCTCAATCTTACCCCAAAAAGAGCTCAAACCCACCTCAAAAAACTCAGCCCCACGCCAAACTCACTCGATTCTGCAGCCATCAGGCTGAGATGAGGTTGGGAGGTGATTTAGAGTCGTGGGGTCTCAATTAGAGTGGTGGGATGGAGATTGTTTGGGGCTGGGTGTGTGGGATGTATTTGACAGCAAATAAAACTCTGAGACTTACTGATTTCTCTCCTGTTCATGTTCAGTCTGTTGCAGTTCTGTTTGCAGAGTGCCGCCTTCTCAGCTCATTGTCTTTGTGTCCCCTTTTCTCTCCTGCCTCTCTTTGCCTGCTCTGTTTCTCTCTCAGTGCCTCCCTGGACCCACGGACCACCAGAGACCCTCCCCTGATTTATTTGACCCCTCCCCTGATTTAATGGACCCCTGCCACCAAAGACCCTCCCCTGATTTAATTTACCCTTTCCCTGTTTTAATTCCCCTTCCCCTGATTTAATTGACCCCTGCCCTGATTTAGATGACCCCTCTGTCCCCACAGACCCTCCCCTGATTATTTATTATTTTATTTCCTAATTACTATTTCAATTCCCAGTCCCAGGAGCTGAAGTCCTGAAGAATGGCAGGGAAATGTCTCTGTCGGATTTTGCTCCATTTCCCTTCAAGGGCGGGAACATCTTTTCCTGGATGGGAGCTGGAATTCCAGACTTTTGGAATGTGTGCCGGGCAACACGGACTGGGATCAAACATGGACTAGGATCAGATAGGGGTTGGGATCAAATAGGGACTGGGATCAAACAGGGACTTGGATCAAATATGGACTGGGATCAAATATGGACTGGGATCAATTATTGATTGGAATCCTACAATGTAGGATAAACTGGACTGAGGTTATATAGACTGGGATCAAATACGGGCTGGGATCAAATATTAATTGGGATAAGAAATGGACTCGGATCAAATATGGACTAAAATCAACTATGGACTGGGATAAATTGGACTGGGATCAAATCAGGACATGGATCAACTTTGGACTGGGATCAAATATGGCCTGGATCAAATATGACAGATTTTATGGACTGGGATCAAATATGGACTAGGATAAGCTATGGACAGGGATCAAATATGGACTGGGATCAAATATGGATTGGGATCAAATGGACTTGGTTCTACAGACTGGGATAAACTGGACTGAGATTATATAGAAGTGGTGGTTTGAGAGGAAGTTAGTTTTCTGGGACATGAAGTGGTCAGGCCAATAGGTGCTCACATTTGAATACTGGCAGCTGGTTTGGCCACTGGGGACATTGGATACGCCTCTGAGAACTCAGGGGTTAAAAAGCAGAGCACTCCCGGGGGAAGCTCTCTTGGGTTCCAGCGAGGGAAGCAGGTCGGACCTCCCCTGCCCAGCTCCTGGCTGGTTTGGGGCTGGGTTAGGTAGGCCTGGCCCGAGGATGGAAGGGTGGAAGAGCCCAGAGAGGCATCGGGCAGCCACACCTCCCCCTCAGGAGAGAGAGAGAGACAGAGAGCGCCTGTGCCACCGTGAAATTTGATATCCTGTGCTGGCAGCACAGCCCGGCTGGCGGAGAAGGGCAGGGGGATGCAGCGAGAAGGGGTCTGGCCACTGTGGGAGCTCTGGATGGGCAGAGCCTGAGCTTTTAACCCTTTTTCAGACAAGGAAAACTTAGCAGAACATTAACCTTTCCTAGAAGAGAGATAAGAGATGAAATGGAAAAAGGAAATGTGCAAGTGTGAAGGTCTGGGCAAGTGAAAGATGTCAGGAGAGTAGAGAAGAATGTTAGGTGGGAAGAGATGATGGAGTGGCCTTAGCTGGACTTTTCCTGTATGGCCATGGACAGAACCATGTTTCCTGTGACACAGAGACTGCATCCAGGGGGAGGCAATGGCTCAGAGCCAAGAGGGTTCAGTGTTGGTACCCCTCGGCCCCAGGGGGTGAAATTTGGGGGGGATAGGTGTCCCAAAGGTGAGACTGTGCCCTTTTTGGAACGGGACAAAGCATCCTTAAAAGGACAACCCTAGAAGCAGCTCTGGTCCATGTGCAGTGGTGAGAGCACTGGACATGGAAGGAAGAGGTCACGATGGCAGATGTTCTCCAGGCGGTGCCACGAGTGACGTGGAAACACACGAGGTTTCAGCGGTGTTTCCTGGGGAAGGCTATGGCACAAGAAGGTTTCCTCTCCCCTTGATGAACTGAGAATTGATTACCTAAAGGGTGGTGATGGACCGAGAGTTGGAGATTTGGGGAATAGATGTATTGGAAATTTGGTGGGAGGGGGAGGAAATGTTTTTGGAAAGTTTTCATTTTCCCTGTGTGTTTCGTGTTACTTAGAGTTGTAGTTTAGTTAATAAAGGTTTCTTTTCTTTATTTCCAAGTGGGGGCCTGCTTTGCTTATTCCTGGTCACTGCTCACAGCAGACACCAGGGAGCATATATTTTCATGGGGACACTGGCATTGTGCCAGCGTCAAACCATGACACCTACGCTGCCAGTTGGCCTTTTTCCACCTCTCCAGCCATCCCCACAGAGCATTGGCTACTATCCATGAATCAGTGTAGAGGTAGAGCTTTGACCATTTCTCTCCCTTAGCATTGTCCAGAGCCACCTGAACAGCTTTGAGTTCTGTAAGTTGACTTGATCCACCTTCTCCTTCAGTGGCCTCTGCCACCTGTCATCTGGGGCTCCATATGGCTGCTTTCCACTTCTGGTCCATCCCTGCGATGTGACAGGAACCGTCAGTGAAAAGAGCGTAGCGCGTTTCCTCTGGGGGCAGTTGGTTATAGGGAGGAGCCTCTTCAGCCCATGTCACTGCTTCTTGTTGCTCTTCATCAGTAAGACCAAAGTTCTCACCTTCCAGCCAGTTTGTAATTATCTCCAAAATCCCAGGGCGATTCAGGTTTCCAATACAGGCGCACTGTGGGATAAGAGCAATCCGTTTACTCCATGTAGCGTCAGTGGTGTGGTGGGGGGTGGGAACCTTTCCTTTGAACATCCACCCCAGCACTGGTAGTCGGGGTGCCAGGAGGAGTTGTGCTTCCGTGCCAATCACCTCTGAGGCAGCCTGGACTCCTTCATAGGCAGCCAAGATTTCCTTCTCTGTGGGAGTATAGTTGGCTTCTCACCCTCTGTAGCTTCGACTCCAAAATCCCAGTGGTCGGCCTCGAGTCTTCCCAGGCACCTTCTGCCAAAGGCTCCAGGACAAGCCATGGTTCCCGGCTGCAGAGTAGAGCACGTTCTTCACCTCTGGTCCTGTCCTGACTGGGCCAAGAGCAACTGCACGAGCAATCTCCCGCTTGATCTGTGCAAAGGCTTGTTGCTGCTCAGGGCCCCAGTGGAAAGTGTTCTTCTTACCGGTGACTAGGTAGAGAGGGCTCATGATCTGACTGTATTCAGGAATATGCATCCTCCAAAAACCTATGGCGCCTAGGAAAGCTTGTGTCTCCTTCTTATTGGTGGGTGGAGACGTTGCTGTGATCTTGTTGATGACATTGGTGGGAATCTGATGCCATCCGTCTTGCCACTTCACTCCCAGAAACTGGATCTCTTGAGCAGGTCCATTGACTTTGCTCTTCTTGATGGCAAAGCTGGCTTTCAGGAGGATCTGGATGATTTTCTCCCCTTTCTCGAACACCTCTGCTGCTGTCTTCCGCCCCACAATGATGTCATCAATATACTGCAGATGTTCTGGAGCCTTACCCTTTTCCAGTGCAGCCTGGATCAGTCCCTGGTAGATGATGGGGCTGTGCTTCCACCCCTGGGGGAGTCGGTTCCAGGTGTACTGCACTCCCCTCCATGTGAAAGCAAACTGAGGGCTGCTTTCTGCTGCCAGAGGAATGGAGAAAAATGCATTGGCAATGTCTGTAGTGGCAAAGCACTTTGCTGCCTTGGACTCAAGCTCATACTGGAGCTCTAATATGTCTGGCACAGCAGCGCTCAGTGGTGGAGTCACTTCATTCAATGTACGATAGTCCACAGTCAATCTCCATTCTCCCTCAGATTTATGCACAGGCCAAATGGGGCTGTTGAAGGGTGAGTGGGTCTTGCTGACCACCCCTTGGCTCTCCAGCTCATGGACCATTTTGTGGATGGGGATCACAGCATCTCGATTCGTTCGGTACTGTCGGCGGTGCACTGTTGAGGTGGCAATTGGCACTCGTTGCTCTTCTCCCTTCAGAAGTCCTACTGCAGATGGGCTTTCTGACAGTCCAGGCAAGCTGTTCAACTGCTTGATGCCCTCTGTCTCTACAGAAGCTATTCCAAATGCCCATCTGAGTCCCTTTGGGTCTTTGAAGTACCCACTTCGAAGGTAGTCTATGCCCAAAATACATGGGGCCTCTGGGCCAGTCACAATAGGATGCTTCTTCCACTCATTTCCAGTCAGGCTCACCTCAGCTTCCACCAAAGTAAAATCCTGTGATCCCCTGTCACACCAGCAATAGAAACAGACTCTGTCCCCACATGTCTCGATGGGATTAGTGTACATTGTGCACCAGTGTCAACCAAAGCTTTGTACTTTTGTGGTTCAGATGTGCCAGGCCAACGAATCCACACAGTCCAAAAAACACGATTTTCCCTGGCCTCTACCTGGCTAGAGGCAGGGCCTCTCTAAGCCTGGTTATCCTTCTTTCCTTGGGCATATGTCTTGGAGTTTCCTTCAAGGGGATCAAAGATATTGTCATTATCATCATATGTGACAGTTCGGTTACTGGCCAGTGGAGCTGCTTCCCTTTTGGAACTTCCTCTCTGAGTCTTCAGTTGTCGCACCCGTTGTGCCAGAGCAGCAGTAGGTTTTCTATGCCATCTCCCCATGTCTTCTCCACAATCACGCAGGTAGAACCACAGCTCAGCTCGTGGGATGTACCTTCTCTCACCATTTGGGGAACGTCTGTGTTGGGTACCAGAACCTCTGATCTGTACTGCCAAGATTTGGAGAAAGCCCTCTTTAATCTCCTCCCTCAGTTTCTTGTTACCCTCCTCTATCTTGTCTTCTAATTTTTGCAGACATGTTTCCACCGCTGCGATTCTGGCATGTGTTGGGCCATGCACAGATCTGCATATGCTCGAAGCTTCCTTGCCATATCCAGCACAGTCTCCTCACCATCATCCTGCTTCATTATTGCTAAAGGAGAAGCGTATTCTCGTGGCCCAAGTCGTACAAGTTTTCTCCACATCACAGATGTGCATGGTACCAAGTCTGGATTTACAGTTTCCATCATCTGAGAAGACAATCTCAGCCACTGCCATTTCCCTCAAGTGTTGAATCCCTTGTTCTATGGTTTTCCACTGGGGTTGCTGCATACAGAGATCGTCTGCGCACAGGTATTTTGTACTACACTTCTTAGGAGCCGTTCCCAGAGGCTGTGAGAGTTAGCCCCGCTCATCATTCCTTGGTCTATGACAGGATCCTATGACAGGAATCCCAAATGCCTGGCTTCAGTGCCGTCCAGAATTGTAGCCTCGCCTGCAGCATCCCAGAGACGGACCAGCCAACTAATTATGGATTCATCAGGTTGTCGGGTGTAATCCTTCCTTAGGCCATGAAGGTCCTTCGGGGAATAAGACTCAATATTTGCGTCTGATCTTGTACCTGCTGCTTTGACTCCTGATTTTATGTCAGGAGGCATTGAGGTTCCTTCTTCTGTATCACCATCATCATCATCATCCACTGGTTGATTAGTTTTTTCCGTGCATTTCCCACTTCTAGTACTGGTAGCAATGGCCATGGGTTTAGCCTGGCTTAGGCTCACTGTCTGGTCTGGCTGCTGGCTTCAAGCCTGGGTTGGCTACAGCTTGAGTGACTGGGATGGCTGATTTATCTCCCTGCCCCCCTGCCTCTGTCTGCTGCCCTACACTATCTAACAAAGTGCAATAAGCATAGGCCAGGGCCCAGCTTATTGCAATTAGCCTTTTCTCCTTAGAATCGTCATGGCACTTCTCTTTTAGGTATTTCCCCACTTCTGCTGCATTCTGAATTTGTTCCCATAGAAAATCCCAGTCTACAGGATCAGAAAATTCCTTCAGGGTTTGGCCTATATTTTCCCATTGTCCACACCACTCAGGATTTTTCACGCCTGCATCTGCTTCTGGGTCAGGGGTCTCACCAGCTCCTCTGGATATCTCAGCCCTCATTCTAGAGAAGCTGCAGACCATATAGAGAAAGCTTACCAGATTAAATACCAGAAAGATGGTCTCTTTAACATTCAGGGGAAACTGAACATTCTCAAAAAGTGACATAACCGATCCAAAGGAGAAGAAGGAAAGGGAAGGCTGGAAAGTCTTATTCTCAGCTCCTCCTCTAACAGACTGAGTGCAATTACTAATAAATTCCCAAAACGTACTACTGGAATTGGGATGCAGGGTAGGATGAAGAAACCATAAACCATACATACCGTAAACAGACGCCAGTATCTTTGTAAACGCTTTATAAATCATTATCACCAAGGCCAGCACAACAGCTATTCCAATCCGTACCCCTCTACTGTAAAAATTACTTGTTAAGGACAATAATCCTAGTGACCAAAAAGGTATTGAAACCTCAAAAAGGTGTAGAGCCCAGAGCCACACGAAGGCTTTCACACCCAGAGACATCAGGGGTTCAAGCAGCATGGCTACTAACTGCTTTAACAACAACAAACACAATTAATGGAGCTTTTTTTCAACTTTTCCAGCCCCACGTTGGGCGCAAATTCATGTATTTGTCCAGGTTTAGAGCAAATTTGGGGAAGAATCCCCCAAAGGATCTCCGGTGGGAAAAAGCAGATCCAATCGGCCCCTCCCCCCAACTGGTCTGGGAGGAAAAAATACCTCCTTGGAGAAAGGTGGAAAAAAACTGTTTATTAAACAATAAAAGCAAAACAATATCAAACAATGAGACCCCTTGCCACTCTAAAAGAGATGACAAACTGAGAAAACCCCGGGTTGAAGCTCAGCTCACTCAGTCTCTGATCAGTCCCTCCAGTGCTGGAATTGTCGCAGGCCAGGCCTGGCCCGGTGGGCCACAGCTGCAGCTGCCGGTGCTCTCCTGGGTGTTCAGGCCAGAGCAGTTTCAAGAGGTCCAAAGAAAAAAGGAAAAAAAACAGTCCAGGGAACTTCTTTGCCTCAGCTAGCTAAAACTAACTAAAAAGCAAAAGAAGAGCTCTGTCCCGCTGTCTGTTCATCCACAGACAACACAGTCCAGGAGCAGGAATGTGGAGGAGGAGTGCAGTGTCTGAAAACAAAACTGCGCGCGTCTTCTCTTCCCCCCTTCACTCTCTGGAACACTCTTAAAGTTACAAAACTTACTATTCAACATAAGCAGAATGAGACGATTTGGGATAAAGGCATCATAGAGTAAACCCAGGACAAGGTCTAAGATTCAGAGTGCATTGAGAGGCCCCTGTGTCCATCAGGAAATGCCTCCTCTCAATGCAGACCCACCCTGAATGTTCTCAAGGGCTCCAGTGTGGAGGGTCCCTGGTGTGATGGGAGCTGTGACAGCCCTGGCAATCCATGTCCATCAAGGGGTGGACTTGCTGGTCCTGAGGGTGCTGCTGTCTGTGCTTGCAGTGTCCTTGTGCCCTGCAGCTGGAGCCCTGGTTCCTTGCCAGGGGCTGTTTGGGTGGGCTCTCCCCTGGTGAGGAGGGCAATGCCTCTGCCAGGTGCTTGTGGCTGAGCCCATGCCCTGGGTGCTGGGGCCCCCTTGGGCCCTGGGGTTGATCCCTCAGGGGCTGTAGGAACTGTGCCCTGGCCTTTGCCTTCAGCTTGGCCTTTTGCTGCTCCCTTCTTGCACTCACCTGCTGTGCCTTTGTGCCCAAGTGCTGCAGGGCCTTCTTGTGCCCCTCCTGCAGCCCCCTCAGTGCCTGTGGGTGCTCATCCTCTGACAGCTGCTGAGCTTTCTGCAAAACCATTTGTATCTCCAGTAACCCTAATAAAATCCTTAAAAGATAATCTCCGTGCTAAAATGTACATTCCACATTTCCCAGGTGTTCCTTGCTCCTCCTCCCGGTGCTCAGGGTGCCCTCCCCAGCCCGTATCCCAGAGCCGCTCCCTGTCCTGCCGCAGTGTCCAAAGGCGCCCCCGGCGGGCAGGGCCGGCAGCTCCGCGGGGCCGGGCAGCGGCCGGGGCGTCCCGCAGCCTCCTGGGGGCCGGGGGCCGCTGCCGGCCCTGCCCGGGGCTGGTGGGGTCAGGCAGCGCCCGGCGCTGAGCCCCGGCTGCCCCACAGCCCCGGCCCGGCCCCGCAGCTCCCCGCAGGCCCCCAGCCCGTGCTCCCGGTGCCGCAGCTCTGCGCCCGGTGCTGCCGCTGCCCCCCACAGAGAAACCCCCTGAAACCCTGACCTCCTTGTTTTCCTCTCCTGGAAACCGGGGATACAAAAGATCTGGATCAGCTGACAAGTTTTGAGGCTAAGACCCTGCTGACAAACATCCCAATCCTCAGTATTTTTCTCTTCCTCCGCTTTTCCATCATCCTTTTCCTTCCCACATAGATTCCTCCTGCAGCTTCTTGCCTTAACCATATTGCTGCACACTCCCCTTCACGCAATCCCTTTGCAGCACACCAACACCATCCATGCCCTGTTGTCCAAATGCGAGGGGAATTTGGGGAGGTGGGAGTGGGGCGGCGCCAAGGCCGGGCCCCCCCGCGCTGTCCCGGCGGGAGTGGCTGCAGTGGGGACCGAGTGCGGGCGGGAGCGGCCGAGAGCCCAGCGCTGCCCCAGCCCGGCCTGCCCCAGCTCCATCCCTGCCCCTGCCATGGGATGCTGTGGGTTTGGGGGGAAGAGGGAGCCGGCAGTGGGTGCTGGGCCCGGGGCAGGAGGAGAAGGGAAGGAGAAGCAGAGTTGAGGAACAAAAGGGTCAAACGATGCATGAGGGAGGAGAAGGTGGGATTGTGCAGAAGGAGGAAGAGGAGTGGGAGAAAGAGCAAGGACGCTGGATGTGGAGGAGGAGCAGAAACAGGAGGCACCACAAGGTTCCACTTCTCCCTGTATCTGCAGCTTCCCTGCCAGCCCCAGTAGCATTCCCCCCCCTACCATGCAGCAGGTGACAGGGGATTGGGATCCACGATTTTCCCGGGGGTGAATCTTGGTGTTTCTGAGCTTTATTGGGCTAATTGTTGGTGCTTTGTTTTTTTGTGGGGGCTGAATCTTTATATTTGGAAGGTGCTTTTGTTGAATCTTGATGTTTGGGAAGTTTTTGATCTGTGTGTTGATGTTTGGAGGACTTTTGTGCTGAATCTTGGTGTTTTGGAGGTTCTTAGAGACACAAGATGCCCAATGACTTAATGAGATGAACTCTGGAAAGGAGGAGCTCCCAGTCCAAGGCACTCTCATTTTGTTCTTTTCCCCAAACCAGGATTTTTCATTCCTAGGGCGTGTGTGAATGGAGCAGGAGGAAAAGCCCTGGAGATTCTGCACGAGGAGGGGCAGCAAACCCAGCCCAGGGAGCTGTGGGGAGGAAAGAGCCCCCCTGAGCCAGGAAGGCGGCCAGAGATCCAGCCAGAGCTCCAAGCTGGTGGAGAAGCCCCATGGCAGAGAGAAGCCCCACAAGTGCTTGGAATGTGGGAAGGGTTTTAGTCGGAGCTTGCACCTGATCCAGCACCAGGTGATCCACACTGGGGAACAACCCTATGAGTGTGAGGAGTGTGGGAAGAGCTTCAGCTGGAGCTCCAGCCTGAGGCAGCACCAGGTGATCCACACTGGGGAGAGGCCCTTTGAGTGTGAGGAGTGTGGGAAGAGCTTCAGCCACAACTCGGTCCTGATCCAACACCAGAGGATCCACACTGAGGAAAAGCCCTTTGAGTGCGGGGAATGTGGGAAGAGCTTCAGCCAGTGGGGGCACCTGATGCAACACCAGATGATCCACACTGAAGACCTGCCTTACCAGTGTGGGGAATGTGGGATGAGCTTCAGAAGGGCCACCTGATGCAACACCAGAGGATCCACACAGGAGGGAAGCCCTATGAGTGTGTGGAATGTGGGAAGAGCTTCAGCCAGAGCTCTGGCCTGAGGAGACATGAGAGGATCCACACTGCAGAAAAGCCCTATGAGTGTGGGGAGTGTGGGAAGAGCTTCAGCATGAAATGCCAGCTGACGGAACACCAGAAGATCCACACTGGGGAAAAGCCCTACAAGTGTGGGGAATGTGGGAGGAGCTTCAGAGGAAGCTCGGCCCTGATTCGGCACCAGGTGATCCACGCGGGGGAATGGCCCTACACCTGCTTGGAATGTGGGAAGAGCTATGGGTGGCACACTGACCTGAGAAAACACCACCAGGGCATCCACAGTGGGGAGAAGCCCTACAAGTGTCCCCAGTGTGGGAAGAGGTTTCAGACCAGCTCCAGTCTCCTCATACATCAGCGGAGTCATACAGAGGAGAGGCCCTTCCAGTGCCCTGACTGCGGGAAGGGATTCCAGCAAAACTCCAAACTCACCATCCACCACCGCATGCACACCAGGGAGAGGCCCTAAAAGTGTGGGGAGTGTGGGAAGAGCTTCTCACAGAGCTCAATTTTGACTAAACACCAACGGAGGCACCACTGAGGGAAGCCCTGTGAATACCCCGAGTTCAGGAAGAGCTTCATGCACTCCTCCAACTCCTTCCCCCATGGGAGAATCTGTGTCGGATGATCCCCAGTGACCCTCATTGGGCAGAGACCTGGTGATCCATGGTCCTGCTGATCTGTGTTGGGAAGACACCTGGCTGGGTGGCTCCACATCTTCCTGGCTCCCCGTGGGCACGTGGATGTATACAGGGGCAGGAACATCCATTGGGACGCAGACCAACAATGGGAATTCCTTGGGGAGAGCGGATTTGTTGACTTTCAAACCAGTAAAATCTTTTGCATTCAATCCTATCTTCTGGTGGCATCAAGGAATACTGAATGGTCTTGGAGATCTTTTCCAATTTCAGGGATGCCACGATTTTGATTTCCTATTTCCCAAAGGTGTCTTTGGCAGCCAAATGGTGAAAAAGTGGGGAAAAAACCAAGATTTTTGAGACAGTGGGGTGGGAACTTCACCAAAAAATGTTCTTCCCTCCCACCAAGCCACATAGGTTCTCTGCCAGCATGGACACGGAATTCCTTTTCTTTTGGCCTTGATTTTATTTTAATTTCTCTTCATCCCTTTAAAATATCTGATATTGGAGTAAAAACAAAGACATTAAATTAAGATATGCATGTGGTTATGGTAGGACACAGTCCTGGAGAGCAGCATGGGGACATATGGTCATGGATGGGAATGGGGACATGGGGGGATACAGTAATCCCTTGGTCTCTGGGCTTTATATGAGTCCAAATCTGGCTAGCTCTGGACTCTAGCCCACACGGACTTGCAGAGACGGAGATAAAAGACGAGAAGCGCTCTTCTCCACGTGGGAACGAGTATCCTGTTTATTGGCTTGGGACAGAACACTTCTGGTGACGGCGACTGTTGAGAGTTTTTTGCAGATTGAGGAGTTTTTGTTAGACAATGGCCATATTCAGCCGATGTACAATCCAGCCTGCTTGTAATAATGGACAATGGACGTGTTCACAAACAATGAATAATGGATGTATTCACAAATGGGGGCGGTATATCCTTGAAAGCGATACAAGAAGAGGAATCTTCAGGACTCAGCAAGTTTGTCAGCAAGTTTGGGAAAGTCAGAAAAAAGTGAGCCATGGGTGGGCCAGACGAGCACAGCAAGATGCGTAAAAAATTAGGTGATCCAATCAGCATTCTAATTTAGACGTGTGAACAGCTAGGATTAACCAATCATGTATTAGCTAGAGACGCGTGGACAGTAGAGATTTATTATAAATATAGTCTTTTTAAGGATAATAAATTTGGCTCACTGGATCATGTTGGTCATGGTGTGTTGTCCCTGAACCTCCACACCCCGCATTTCTGGTGGAGAACGTGGGCAGGCCCAATGTGGTAGCACTAAAGGGACTCGAGGTCGGCAATTTGGCTGCTGTGCAGGGATCGGAGCCAACCCTCGAGGAGCGGAGCAGCCAGGGTAAAGTATCCTCACTGCCCCGGGGAGAGGGAAAGGTCACTGGAGCTCCAATCGTAGATGACTTGAATCTCACCCTGATCAAGGTGAGCGGCTGGGGAGGAGATGGGGTCTGAGCATGAAAGGGAAGGTGTTCAGAAACTCCTCCAAAATACCCTCTCTAAGAGAGAACAAAAGTATGATGCTTCCAATTTGAAGGGACTATTGCAATGGGCTTGGGACCATAATCTCGTAGCAGGAGCACAGGTTGCTTTTGAGATTTCGACATGAGAAGCTGTGGGGTGGATGTTGTGGGACTGTATTGCATCTGGCGGGAGTGAGGCAAAAGAGGCGTCTAAATATTCTACTTTGTAGAAAATTATCATAGAGGTGTTGCAAGCCTCAGAGGCAGAGAGGAAAGCTGCTGCAGCCCTTGCCTCTGTGTCAGAACAGCCTCAGGCATTTCCAGTCACTTCAGTCCAGCAACTGTTTTCTACCACCTTAGATATTCCCTCACTCAGCCCACAACCCCTCAGCTCAGAATCGAGCATTGCACTGACTGCTCCTCCAGCTCAGAGCGAGAAAGAGGAAGCTGCTGCCTCTTCGGGGGGGTTGGGCTGTCAGACAAAGGTCAGTTGTACTCAGAGTGAAAAAACCTCTTCAGGGGGATAAGCCTGCAGAACAAAGGACAGTTGTACTCGGAGTGAGGAAACTGTTGGTAACAGTAACTTAGAAACTAAACATGCTGTATGTGAAAAGGATAAGGAAGGAGATGTTATTATGAATAATACTTCTATTGAAGAGGATTTAAAATCTTTAGTGGACAATTTGCAAAAATTGGTAATTCAGAATGATTCAGTTTTCCCCAAAAGAGACTATTCTTTTGAGAAAATGGACTTGCCAATGATAGACAGACAACCAGGAAAGTGGTTACCACCCTCCCAGTTTGTCTCTGAGCCAGCATTCGAGCCGGTTAAACAAATTCCTCCCTCTCATGCTGTAAAAAATGTGGAATTAGAGTTGGAATGTGATCCTGAAACAGAAGCAGCTCAGAAACAAAATGGAAGGGAGTTATTACAGAAGCTATTGTAGAAGGGACTTTGCTCTCAAATGATACAGAGGCTTTTCCTGTAGTGACTAATGCTGCAGGTAGAGTTTGGGAACGTTTCTATTGGAAGATTTTAGAAAGGTTAAGACCTGCAATTTCACAATTTGGTTTAGAATCCCAACTTGCACAGTCACTTCTGCAGTATATTTTTACATCTAACACATTAATTCCAGCTGATGTGCATACCCTAAGACTTATAATGCCACCCTGTCAGCAGGTGATGTGTCATAAAAGCTGGGAGGAAAAGTGTGCTCAGGAAGCAGCAAGACCTAGAGTGCAGGGTGATCCTCTGTGTGGTTCAACAGCACAACAGTTCCTTGGCAAAGGGCCCTGGGCTGCTGCCACTGCCCAGGCTGGGAGCATTGATCAAGTCTTACGGACGAGCCAACAACCAGCATATAATGCTATCCTTGCACTTCCAGATGGGTTATGCATTAAGTCTTTGACACAGATTCGCCAAGGAGGGAATGAGTGCTTTGATATATTTGTAAACAGATTGCATGAAGCTATCTATGATCATCCTGATTTGTATACAGACACAAAATAAAATTGTTTAATATGTTTGCTTTTGACAATGCTAATGATAAAACTCAGCAGATTTTGGGAACATTAAGGAAGGGAGCTGATGTTACAGAAATGCTGGAACTTATGGCTAGAGCTACAGAGACACAAAAAGCAGCCCATGTAGCTGCTGCAGTACAGGATGTGGTAAAACCATTGCTTTCTAAACTGCAAAAGAGAGCTGAAGGAAAGAACATTAAGTGCTTTGGATGTGGTAAAATCGGACATGTTGGGAGTCAGTGTTGCTCTACAACTGTGAAAAAATTTTGTTCTATCTGCAAAAAAGATAACCACGATACTAAAGAATGTTGGTTCCAGGGAAACGGGTCTCGGAGTGCCTTCTCTCCAGGCATCACAAAACAAGTACGGAGAGCTGTCTGGATAGCTCAGCCTCCCATGGAGGAGGAGGAGGGCTTTGCTCACTCAGATCATCAACTGCTGGAAACGCCGGAGCGGACGTGGAAACCACAGTAGACGTGACCATCACGGACTCTGCTGTGCACCTGATAGATACCAATGTAAAAGGACCCTTGGGGGATGGGCTGAGTGCTTGTGTCTTAGGGAGATCATCTGCCAGTAAAAAGGGTTTGGATGTAATTCCTGGGGTTATTGATGCAGACTATCAAGGGGTTGTTAAAATTATGATTAGAACATTTTTCCCTCCTGTATCTATTCCAAAAGGTTTGTGAATTGCTCAGCTTGTTCCTTTTAAGTCGTGTGTCCCCTGTACAGACTACAAGAAACGGGGAACAGGAAGCTTTGGTTCCACAGGTAAACCAGAAGTATATTGGGCCATGGACATCACAAGAGGTAAACCAGACAAACAGGTAACCTTGACACATCCTAATGGTGATTCTATTACTAAGAAACTCATAATTGACACTGGAGCAGATGTAACCATCATTTCAAACACAATATGGCCAAAAAACTGGGCATTGGTTGATCCTGCTTTAGGCATTGCAGGTATTGGAGGGACTCAGGCAACTCAGATGAGCAGGGAAGTAATTACTTTTACTTTCCCAGATGGAGTGAATGTGTCTACAAGGCCTTATGTCATGCAAACTCCTGGTACTTTACTAGGTTTCCTTGGTTGGGACCTGTTAAGCCAGTTAAAAGCTACCATTGCTAGACAGCCTTTTTGGGATCACATTGCCACAAAGGTTGCTACATGGCATGCACATCGTCTGATCGAGGATGATCCAGTTCAGTTGATGATCATCAATCAGAGCAAAGAGGGTGACAATTATGCCAAGCATCCTTTCGCCTTGATTTGTCAATGGGTTAAAACTCAAGCTAATCCTTAAGTTTTTTTGGAATGGGTATTTTTACCTGTAAAACAATCTAGAACTATTCCCACTCAACTGGAACTTTTTGCTCATTTGATTATGAAGGACAGAGGGAGAATATTGGAAATCTGGGGACACGAACCACATGCAATTGTAGTACCATTGGCTAACTGGTATCATGAATGGGGAATTAGGCATTCTGTTTCTTTACAGATAGCTTTGGCTGGATATGACGGTAAAGTTCACGATATTTATCCACGGCACCGGGTATTATCATCTTTATTGGAGCATCAGCATCTGGAGGACAGACCCTGGAGATCTGACTGTCGGTGTCTGGGCAGACAGCATTTACAGATGCAGATAAAAGGTCAAAAAGGGCTGTCTGCACTTGGCAGTAAGACAAAGTGTGGAAAAAGCATGTCATTTTTGGAGATGTAAAAGATATGTTGCAGACAATAGAATTGAAAGCTGTGATTTGGGCTTTTGAAAATTGGAATAATGAGGCCATTAACATTGGTTCTGATTCGCTTTATGTAGTTAGCTGTGTCCAACGCCTAGAAAGAGCAGTACTTAATAAGGTGAGTAATGAGCATTTGTATTCCCTTTTAAGCTGATTGCTTAAAAACCTAAATCAGCGATGGCAGGAATACTTTATTATTTATGTTTGTAGTCATCAAGCTCTCCCTGGTCTGTCTGAAGGTAATGCTCGAGCTGATCAGTTGGTAGCCACTGTCCGGCCAATGCCAAACTCTGATAAATTAAGCAAGCTAAAACTTCCCATGCATTTCTTCATCAATCTGCAAAAACTTTAATTAAATAATTTGGTATTCCCCTTACTGAGGCTTCAGGTATTGTGTGATCCTGTCCTGATTGTCAACGAGATGGCATTGGTTTATTCACTGGTGTTAACCCTAGAGGTATTCAACCCTTGCAATTGTAGCAAATGGATGTAACTCCTGTAGCAGAATTTAGTCAGAAAATGTTTGTACATGATTGCATTGATACCTATTCTTGTGTTATGTGGGTTACTCCCTTAACAGGTGAGACAGCACGTCATGTAGAGAAACATTTGTACAATTGCTTTGCCATATTAGGTATCCCCTTAGCAATTAGGACTGGCAATGGTCCTGCTTACTGTTCCTTAAGATTCAAATATTTCTGTAATTTATGGGGTATTTGACATGACACTGGTATTCCTCACAATCCTACTGGTCAGGCAACTATTGAGCGTGCCCATCAGACACTCAAGGGCATGCTGCAAAAACAAAAGGGGGGAACTACAGGGCTATCCCGAGGAAAAAAAAGCTAATGCCATTTTTGTGCTTAATTACCTTAGAACAACAGGAGCTAGGGAAGATCCACCTATTCTTGTGCATCATGCCCTCACACAAAATCCAAGCAAGAAATTGCCTGACGGCATTCAGGCCATGTTCAAAAGTCCAGAAACAGGGGTATGGGAAGGACCAGCTACAGTAAAATTAATAGGAAGAAGTTATATGTGCTTACTTACAGACAAAGGCATTCGTTGGATTCCAGCCAAGTGGGTGAAGCCCTATCTGAAACCATCATCGCCAGCCCATGCTGTGCCCAGAGGCGGAGAATCGGCAAAAGCACCGATTCCAGACAGCCCTGAATCCAATTCTTCAGCACCTGGCAGCTGAACAATGGATATTCCCACAACGGTGGGAATATCTGCCAAGTTTGCTGGAGTATGCTAAGAGAGTACCAGCAATTCCACATAGGCTTAATACACACGGGTTAGATATACACAGACTTCTTTTACCTTCACTTTCATCACAAGTTGTAAATCAGATAGAAAATTCTTGTTATCTGCATGGTTGTGCATGTAAGCCGTGGCTTAAGGTTCATTGTATAAAGTGTAGCTTAAAAACTTGGCGACAAGTTCATCAAGAACGTAATTTAGCAGTGGTTTGAGGGGAAAAAGCAAAAATTTAGGCCTATTAACCTAATATGCAATAACTGCTCTTACACACTTAACTCTATTACTCCAAGAATGGCATTCACTAAATTTTTAGGGCGTAGCTCAGGAGGATATCAGAGTTTTCTCCAGGATGTATCTTTGATAGAAGTATATGAGCAAAGATCGTTACTATGGGTGCAGTTTAACCTTGCTTTAATTGCTATAGTAAACCAAATTGTACTAGAAAGCAAGATATTAGCTACTGAATGTAGAGTAGGAATAGCAATACCACAAAGACATCACTTTAGAGATTCTGAGTGGGAACGGGCTAAAGCAATTTGGGCAAAGCGCAGGCGTGATGGACAACAGCGGCAACAATGGCAGCAGTCTGGCAAATGTTGACAATGTTGCTCGGTGCAGTGATTAGGGAAACACAGGGTGTATACAATATAGAGCAGCGAGCTAACATGTGGGTTACATGGGCTAACAGAACAGGGCAAGAACCTTTCTGCTTGTCACCACCTACACCTTCGGATCCATTTTGCACCTGTTTAATTGGAATTCCCTTAGACTCAGTGGAAGAATTTGGAAATTGGACCAGAGCTGAAATTTATGGCAACTTAAGTAAGGCCTGGTCAAATTGGTGTACTAATCAAAATGGGATGATCACAGAAATTTGGTGTGAAAAACAAAAAGTCCCTAGAAATCCTGTAGGAGTTCAGGCATTTACAATCACTGAAGGTTTAAATACTACAAGTCAGGAACCACAGGAATTGGATATTTTGGGATCAGTGCCAGGAAATTATTGTTTATTCTTTGAGTACTACAAGAGTAAAGAACTGATTAGGGAGAAGTAAGAAAAACCCAGAGGTAGTAGCACTTGGATATCTCCTAATTCTTCGTGGTATTACAATACCACGGCATACTGTGCCAATTGGACATGGTCTGTGTCCCTAAAAGAAAAACCAGCAAGCATGTTACCTCATGGAATTTTTCTCATTTGTGGAGATAGAGCTTGGCCTGCAATTCCTCAGAAAGCATTAGGAGGACTGTGCTATTTTGGGAAATTGACACTGTTTGCCCCTAGCACTCAACAGATGCTTGACATCAGGCACAAATTCCAATGTCCAAAACGTAGTGTGCATCTATTAGGCTCAGACTGTAAGGATAATGTAGAATTGTGGAATTGGCCTTCAGTTAAATTGGCATCACTTTTTTCACCAGGAGTAGCTTCATCAAAGGCCCTTACACAATTAAAACAATTGGCTTGTTGGACAGGAAAACAAATTAACATTACATGGTAAGTAGTGAATGAGCTTACCACTGATGTAGGTAGCATATGCCACGCTGTGTTACAGGATAGGGCTGCTATAGATTTTTTGTTGCTAGCACAAGGACATGGATGTGAAGATTTTGAAGGGATGTGTTGCATGAATCTCTCTGAGCACTGAATCTATTCACAAGAAACTGTCATTGCTTAAGGAGAATATGAAAAAGCTCACAGTTGTTGAGAACTCTTTTGATGAGTGGGTAAAATCCTGGGAAATAACAGGCTGGCTCAATGACTTAGGCTTTGGCATTATGATACTTTGTATTCCTTTCTCAATTCTGCTTATAGTGCCTTGCTTACTATGCTGTGTGCAGAAAATAATTGACCTGCTTTTAAATCAGTCTGGCTTGTGCAAAAAAAACCCCCAAAAAACTGGGGAACTGTTGAGAGTTTTTTGCAGATTGAGGAGTTCTTGACATATTCAGCCAAAGCACAATCCAGCCTGCTTGTAATAATGGACTATGGACACATTCACAAACAATGAATAATGGACATATTCAGAAACGGGGTTGGTATACCCTTGAAAAACATACAGGAAGAAGAGTCATCAGGACTCAGCAAGTTTGTCAGCAAGTTTGGGAAAGTAAGAAAAAAGTGAGTCAGGACTGGGCCAGACGACCACAGCAATATGCATGAAAAATTAAGCGATTCAATCAGCATTCTATTTTAGAGGTGTGAAGAGTCAGGGTTAATCAGTCATGTATTAGCTAGAGATGTATGGACAGTAGAAATTTCTATAAATATAGTATTTCTAGGGATAATAATTTTGGCTTCACTGGATCATGTTGCTCATGGTGTCATGTCCCTGAACCTCCGTGCCCAGCACTGGAGAAGCCTGTCCTGGCAGGACAGACCCCGGGGCACAGTGACCCACGCTGCAGCACTTGGAGGGGGCTGTGCCCCGTGGGATGGACTCAGCTCGGAGAAGTTCCTGGAAGAAGTCTCCGGTGGGAGAGAGCCCAGGGTGCAGCAGGGGAACGACTCCTGTCCCTGAGCAGAGGGAGAAGCCCCGGGGCATGAACTGAGCCCGGCCCCATTCCCTGTCTGCGGCACTGCCGGGGTAGGAGGCGCAGCTGGAAGGAGAGAGGCGTGGGGGAAAGCTGGGTTTAAGGCTCTTCACTTAATTCCCATTATCCTGCTCTGAGTTTTTGGAGTTTTCTGTCCGAAATCTCTCCCCTCCCCCACACATCCACAGGGGTTTGGGGCGGTTTTTCCTTTTTGGGGGAAATCAAAGCGATGCACTGATGCTCCTAATTAGGGGGAGGAGAAGTGAGGCTCCAGGGCTTCCCG